GTGTCTACGCCACAGTCCCCCAGCTTCCTAATGAGAATGGGGTGAGAAACAGTATCAAAAGCCTTCCTGAAGTCCAGGAAAACTATATCCACTGCCACCCCTGCATCCAATGATTTAGTGACCTGGTCGTAAAAGGCCACCAGGTTGGTCTGACAGGACCTGCCACTGATGAACCCGTGCTGGTTGCCCCTGAGCATGCAGTTCCCTGCTGGCCCCTCCTGGATGCGTGCCAGAATAATTTTCTCGAACAGCTTGCCCAGGATCGAGGTAAGGCTGACTGGCCTGTAGTTCCCTGGGTCCTCTTCCCTCCCCTTTTTGAAGATGGGAACCACGTTGGCCCTCTTCCAGTCCTCCGGCACCTCTCCAGAGCACCACGAGTGTTCATAAAGCCGTGAACTTCTTTCAGGGAGACGGGTCCTGCGATTGTGATAATGGTCCTCAAGTTTTGGACTAGCTTAATCTGTTCAGAAAGCTTCCGCAGCTGAACTCTCTTAGACCACTTCAGCTCTTGCCTGCCTTGCCTCCTGCCTCACTAGCGACTTGTGGGTGGAAATGTGGCTGCTGATGTTGTGCAACCCTGACCCTTGAATGGCAGTGGTGTTGGGAGACAAGATGCTGCACCAGGAGTGGAGGCAGAGATGGGATGGGAGCAGAGCGGCAATACCTGGGTCTTAGTCCATCTTGCAGAATAGACTTGTCTTTCTGTGCTGTACTAGCTGGGGCTTCTGCATTCCCCCCATATGGACCCTGTGAGCTATGTCTACACAGCCCAGAGTGACAAAAGACATGGAGCAAAGAGCCCCGTATGTCTCTCAGAAGGAAGGAAAGATGTGTCCTGATGAGGATGTTTGCACCCTTCCTAACAGGGGCCTCCAAGGAGATGGAGGAAATGCTGTTAGGCACTGTACAAACACACGACAACAATAGAGGATGCCTGCCCCCAAAACACAGACTAAATGGGCAACACCAATAAAAGGGGAGGGAAAACCAAGCTAAAGCCACATCGTAGCAGAGACAGAACAGAAGCCAGATTGGAAAATCTGGTTACAGTGCACAATGCAGTGAAGTGTAGAGACACCGGAGGTAGCTTGGGACCAGAAGCAGGTCCCCTGCGTTCAGAGGTATGCTGCCCTGCGTAGAGAATTTGCTAACACAGCTGCTGGCACCTGAGCTTGCACCATGTGAGCTAGCTTGGGTATCCCTGGTCACCACTGAGACCTGCCCAGGGCAAGAACTAATCAGAGTCCCAAACTAAGCCACTGCTCCTAGGGGACCTGATAAATGTGGAGAAGAGCATGCCCAATGGTGAGACATGGCACTATTGGGAGGAACTGGGATCTGAGCACAGGGGAGGGTGTTTTCAGGATGCAGCTACCGAGCAGTATGGCAATGACGGGGTTTCTTGAGGATCTTACCTGGGTGCCAGTGTAGGTTCTCCCCAACAGTTTAAATATCACAAATCTTCCACGGGGGTCACTTGGCATAGCTTCTTCTGCCGTTGGAGTGCCTTTCCTGCAGCAGCTCCGGGGAGAAGTCACCTCAGGTTTGGCTCCGAGGCCAAAAACATAGGCAGGAACATCACCCCCAACAGCAGTGAACATCTCCCTCCACCCCTGCTCTGCCCTCTTCAGTGCTGAAGGTGTAGGGTGCAGGGCAAAGGGTGGGGGGATGGAGGTCATAGATGTCCCGGTCACTGTACTGGCCAGTTGCACCTCTGGCTTGGTACAAAAGGCCAAATGAGGTGGCATCTTCAGAGAAATCATAGAGAAGTGGGGCTGCAAGGGACCTCCGTAGGTCACCTAGTCCAGCCCCCTGCCTGAGGCAGGATCAGCCCTGTCCAAACCATCGCAGACAAATCCATTATCTGACCTCTGAGTAAAACTGCCTGATACTGCACAAGACATCAGGCTGGGGGAGGCAGTCTTAACTTTTTTGGCTGACACGGCCCCATTCTCTCTCTGTGCCAACAGAGCACAAACGTGAGCTGCTACCGGATCCAGTGCCCG